TTTTTTTTTTTTTTTTTTTTTTCCTTTTTTTTGCTTTTCGAGAAAAGCTTTGGTGCCTGTCCGGGATCTTGCTCTGTAGACCAGGCTGGCCTCAACCTCAAAGAGATCCCCTGGCTCTGCCTCCCGAGTGCTGGGATTAAAGGCGTGCGCCACCTCCACCCGGCCTAAAGTAAAGTTTTAACTATTTTTATGTACAACAAATGGGCATTGCGCATACCACTTCGGTGACGATTGGAGTCAAATCTGAAGTGCATAATGTTTCTTCTCAGCTTTTTAGGCGTTCACAGTGTAGTTGCTACATACTTTATGGTTGGCACATTTAAATTCATAAGGCATCTCTAGGGTTGCCTGGGGGAGTCAGGAAGGGTTTTATGAAATGGGTGACATTTATACTAAGTCTTGAATAATGAATAAGAGTGATACCATGTGGAAAAGAAGAAGGTCACTTTATGCAGAAACAATAGCAGTCAGAAAACCATGGAGTTGCAAAGGCCTTGTGTGTGGGAGAGCAATAAAAATTTAGTGTGTGACAGGAACATAGCATATGTGGAAACCTGGCTGGTTTAGGGCAAAGCAGTGCCATGCCAAAGAATTAGGCATTATTGTCTAGGTGATAGGGAGTCCTTGAGAGTGAGAGGTGAGAACGGGGTGGGTGGGGTAGGGGTGTGGGGGTGTGGGGGTGTGGGGGTGTGGGGGTGTGGGGGGATAGGGAGAGCAAGGCAAGAGTCTGAACTCATTCAGCACAAGGCTTGGGAGGAGGGCATGGCCTCGAGGACTGTAGTGAAGATTGGATAGAAAGGAACTCATTGTTGTCGTGTGGGCCTGAAGAAGAGGAAGAGACTGGGGAAAAATCGGGACTTCCACCTCAGATGTAGAGTTCAGGGAGACTCCGGTGTCTGATGCAAAGGATTCTGGGGGAGAACTAGATTTGCGGAGCCGAGTGGCAGAGTGACCTAGCATTGAGTCCTTGTACCACTGATCCCTGGGTCTAACCTATGTGCTTTCTCTCTCAACTACACTTTCCTCGTCGACACAACTGGGTCTACACTGGCTGAAATGTTAAGGAGAGTGAAAGAGATTTTCAGTCGTATGCATCTGGCTCCTGTCAAATGTTCCCCATGGCGGGTGTTAGAGTGACATGAGACAGTGGGTAGGGCTGGAGGGACAGCTCCGTTGAGGAGACGCTTGATTTGCAAGCACGAGAACATGAATCGATTCCCAGGCTCACTTTTAAAGTTATTATTATTTTAAGAGCCAAGTGTGATGGTGTTTTCTTGTAATCCCAGCCAGTGTTGGGGAGACAGAGACAGGAGAATTCCTGAGGCTCATTTCTCAGCCAGAATAGCCTGCTTGGTGAGACTTTGCTTAAAAAGAAAAGGGGGTTGGTGCATGAGGAATGATGGGGGGGGTTGGCCTCTGGATTCCATATGCATGAGCACACATGTGCACATGTACCACACACACACACACACACACACACACACACACACACACAGGGAGACACAGACAGACAGACACAAATAGGCACAGATATACACACAGACACATGAACACACAGGAAGACACACACACACAGACACAAACACACAGACACACACAGGCACACATACACACAGATAGACAGACAGACGCATGGACACACATACAGACAGAGAAAACACACACAGACACAGACAGACACACGCAGACAGAGAAAAACACACACAGACACAAACACACATACATAGACCAACAGACAGACACAGGCACATATATACACACCGACAGACAAACAGATACACACACACACACACACACACACACACACACACGCACATACATTCACGGATGCACACACACATGGACACACACACACAGAGACACAGATGGACACACACACACAGACAGAGACACACACATAAGAAGACTGAAACATGTCTTGAAATGATCAGATTCTTACTACCATGCGTATGTATTTTAAACAGAAATCAACAGTCCCAACCAAGCTTCCTCCTGAAGGCAGCCAGGAGATGGGAGGAGAATCAAGACACTAAGGGAGTGTGCAGTTTCGACATGAGCCATTGTTCTCGTCTTCCTACATACCTAGAGCAAGTCATTGTAATGGCAGCAGCTAACTTTTGAAAGAACAGAACTCTGGGAAAGAAAATCCAACTGTTCTCTTCCAACAACCCCGTGTGTGTGTGTGTGTGTGTGTGTGTGTGTGTGTGTGTGTGTGTGTGTGTGTGATATATAACACACACACATGTATAGCATAGGCTTATTCCAAGAGATACAGGTTAAGTCCAGGTACACAACGAGCCCCAAGGGAATAGGAGAAAGAGCGTTTTGAAGACTACAAGGGCCACAGAGAAAGAAAACAGCCTGAGTTATGTATATGCTAGAATTAACTAGTGAAATAACATGGGAAGTCAAAACAAGTGAATTACTATCACAGCAATAAAGGAGGCTGTTAGAAACATAAGTGTAAGGGAAGTCAGAAAACAGCGAGCCTGGAGAATACCAAGGGTGAGATAACAGCACAAAACAACCTAGCGGATGAATTGGAGAGCATACCGGATACAGTTAAAAGAAACAACCGACCTGAATTTTAGGCAAGAAGTTGGTCTTTTACATGCTGGGTAGAGCAATGGTTGCCAGAACTTAACAGGAACCCCAGGGCTCCCTGGCTGATTGTTACAGGGACTTTCAAAGATGGCACATCTTAGCTCACCTTCTTCTGCAGCACTTAGAGAAATTCCAACCATTTGGGAGGCCGTGTTAGTAAATGAAACTGCGTTCCTGGGGAACCTTTCACCTTGATCCTATGGCTTATGCTTTGCTTGCTTTCAGATCAGGGATCACCTTTCTGTTGATTGCACAGACCAGAGTTACCACATTCTGAAATCTGCCAGGCATGGTGGTACACCCTTGTCATTCCTGTCATGTTGGCTATTGAGAGACTGAGGCAGGGGCGTTGAGAGCTCAGGGCTAGCCTGGCCTACAGAGAGACCATTTCATAAAAGCAGAACACAAGTGTGTCGTCCCCATTACTAGGCTTTATCATGACTTTAAAATTCTGCTCTGTGGTCCTTGACTTGGAAAATGCTAGCAAACCATTGGGGAATGATTCCCTCTGGTGCTGGGTGGTGGTACAGCCTTCCCCAGGCCCCGACTGACGCCGTCTGCACTCTCCCTTTCTTGTCTTCCCATTTCCAGGTTAAATGCCCCAGTCTTTTCTACAATAAATACTACCTGATAAGGGAACACTCAGGTGAGCCAGGATCATCTTTCCACCTCAAGGCCTGCACCCTATTACATCTGCGAGGACTTTTTTTTTTTTATACTGTTCAATAACATATGGAAAGCTCCTTTGTGACTGTCCACATTGCTTTCCATTTTTCCCTTTTATTTTATTTTACAATACCATTCAGTTCTACATAACAGCCACAGATTCCCTTGTTCTCTCCCTTCCTGCCCCCCTCCCCTTCCCCCCAGCCCACTCCCCATTCCCACCTCCTCCAGGGCAAGGCCTCCCCCAAGGACTGAGATCGATCTGGTAGACTCAGTCCAGGCAGGTCCAGTTCCCTCCTCCCAGATTGTGGCAAGCGTCCCTGCATAAGGATGCAGACATCCACGGCTAGGCCCCGGGTGGAGCACTGGGAGTCTAATTAGTGAGAAAGAGGAGGGTTTATATGAGCGAGAATTGTTGAAACCAAGGTTGGATAAAGCACAGGGACAAATAACCAAAGGAATGGAAACACATGAACTATAAACCAAAGGCTGAGGGGCCCCCAACTGGATCAGGCCCTCTGAATAGGTGAGACAGTTGATTGGTTTGATCTGTTTGGGAGACATCTAGAGTGGTAACCAGGTCCTGGTCTCATTGCATGAGTTAGCTGTTTTTTTTTCCATATGAGTTAATAATTGTAGGTTTGAAGAGTTAGGCCCTGGTATCTTTGGTCTACTCCAGGACTTTATTTAATGTTTGTAGAATTTTCAGTTTCTGTATGAATCAAGTCACAGGGTACTTCTAGGATTTTTTTTTTTCCTATTAGAGAGTATGAATAAGTTTAGGGGAGGCACAGTGTGCTGCTGAGTTTTTTGGTCACCTTGATACAAGCAAACTAGGGGCATCTGAGGAGAGGAAACTTAATTGAGAAAATGCTCCCGGAAGGTTGGCCTGCAGGCAAGCCTTTATGGCATTTTCTAGATTAATGATTGGTGTGGCAGGATCCGGTTCCCTATAGGAGGTGCCACCCTTGGGCAGGTGGTCCTGGGTTGTATGCAAACAAGCAGGGGTGAGCCATGGAGAGCAAGCCAGTGAGCAGCTCTCCTCCACGGCCTCTGCTTTAGTTCCGGCCTCCACGATTAGTTCCTACCCTGGCTTCTGATGATGGACTGTAACCTGTAAGCAAATAAACCCTCCTCCCCAAGTCATGGTGTTCACCAGGGCGACAGAAAGCAAATGAGGACACACAAGTTCAAATGAACATTTCCCCTGATAGAGTCCTTCCTTTCCTCCCCTGTAATATCAAACGGTTGGAAATTTGGCAATGCTTCGCCCCCTATCCATGAATGAATGGGAACGATGCTTAATCATTTCATTGATATTCACAGTTGCTAGGTAGCATGAGTTGCATCTCTCCCACTGTCAGTGGAACAGAGCTGCTAAAAATAGTTAATTTCCCCAAGGACACCACCTTGCATCATGTTTTTCTAGCACTGAATAATTTTAGAGGGGACAAATACAGTCTGCCAGTGCCATGATGTCTTGGATGGATGTAGCGAAGGATGGCCTGTGCCGCTTCTTGTAGGCTCCATGTAGACTCAGTGCTTCCATACAAAGGCGAGGGTAGAAGTGAGGAGTAGGATTGACCACTGTTCTGTGCATCTGGAATCTCCTTACAAGGTAAGTCCTTCCTATCAGATACAGCCCTCACATGTTTGGAAGGAGAGTGTTGATGTTCCTTTGGCTCTTTTTTTTTTTTTTTTTTAAACAGGTTTTCCTGCATCTGTTTTCTATAGTCAGCTTTGCTTTTTGGATGTTAAAATCCAGATGTGGCAGAGGCAGTGGTGAGCTTCCACCATCTGTATCCTGGATCACAGCTGTACTGGTAAGAGCCGATCCAATCCTTCCATTAGTAACCTTATGACCCTGCTGACGATAGCTCCTCCAGGAGATTCATTCGGTAATGTTCCCAGGAACCAAGGAACACCCCCAAACATGTGGTCTAGAGCCCTCTGCATCAGCCATACCAAAACTTATGTTAGCCTCCGATTTCCTGCGTCCAGTTGCTTTCTGCTTACAATACCCAAGCGATTCTGACGAGTGTTAGGCTGCATACTAACCGGGTATAAAGGAATGTGGAGATGGGCGGAGCTCAAAGTCCCCCTTCAGTAGGCTGGGATCTCAGTTTCTAAATTTTAGGAAATTCATTTTATACCATCTTTCCAATTTTTATGAGATTAAAAAGCTTGAATTTGGTGGTGGCGCACGCCTTTAATCCCAGCACTTGGGAGGCAGAGGCAGGCGGATCTCTGTGAGTTCGAGGCCAGCCTGGGCTACCAAGTGAGTTCCAGGAAAGGCGCAAAGCTACACAGAGAAACCCTGTTTCGAAAAACCAAAAAAAAAAAAAAAAAAAGCTTGAATTTATGTGTAAAATATAAGGATGCGATTCATGTTCACAAGGTAAACCACAGCACAGTACAACTTGAGATACTTTCTTTGAACCAACACTAATTAGCCAATCAGGAGACTCCAGGAGTGAATGCCAGGAGGAGGCCTTGGTCGACTAGATGGAGAAATGAAGACAAAGCTTATAGCTGCTTTACTGGGCTGAGCTAGAGCACTGAAAAGCCTGGTTGTATACGGTTGCTGGCTAATTCTGATGGATTGAGCTTGAATTCCTTTTTTCTTTCTTCCGTTTTCTTTGCTTGGTTTTTGGAGACAGGACTTTTGTTCTGTAGCCCCAGCTAGCCTCAAACTTGTCATCCTGCTGCCACAGCCTCTTGAGTTATTGGGATTATAAGAGTGCGATCACATTTTGTCTCTCTGTTTTTTTTTTTTTAATACATTTTATGGGTGTTTTGCCTGCATGTATCATTGTGCACCACGTACATACGTGCATGCTTGGAAGCTTTGAAGAGGGTGCTGGATCCCCTAGTATTGGAGTTACAGATGGCTGTGAGTCACCATGTGGGTGCTTGGAATGTGGTTTAAGCAGTGTGGTTCAACACACTTAATCTCTTAATTTGAGTTTAGGCAGTATGAGATGATTGAAATAGCAATTGCTATCTTAATTATATGAATTTACTGGTAACCCTCTTACAATTTCCTGATAGGTCCAGGACCCAGCAGACTAATTTGATATGTATTAAAAATATTCCAGAGCAAGTTGGTCATGGTGGCATAGCTAATCCCAGCCCTTGGAAGGCAGATGTAGATGGATCTCTACAAATCCGAAGCCAGACTGTTTTACAAAGTGAGCTCTCAACCAGTTAGGGCTGCATAGTGAGACCCTGTCCACAGTAAAGGTTCAAATGTGGCCTTAATTGGCCTTGGCTTTGGACCAAGTAATTTGAGAATATATAGGAGGACTTCTGTATCACAGATGTCATTATGAAAGGTACTCCAAGTGTCATCATTAGTGATTGAGTTCCTTATGATAAAGTACCCTTCCTGTGTTATGCGGGAGTGTGGGGCCAGGCGGGATGGGGGGTAACCTTAGCCAGATCTATAATTGGATGTTAGCAACCACTCAGTTTGCATGAGACTGGGCTTGGAACTGGTAACTTATATGGAATTGTACCTGATTCAACCTACAACCGAATGCAGAGAATGCAGACCCATCCCGCTAACTGTCAGTGCAGGGCAGGCAGGAGAGCATCGTAAGCGTTAGCGTCCGTCATCTGAAACTGAAGCTTAAGTTTAGACTGCTGGGTTTTTAAGCACTTGGCAGATGTAATGTGGAAGACAGTTATTTTAGAATTACGTCGGACAGTGTGAGCCAACTGGTGAAAAACTTCCCAACATTCTTTGCCACATGCATGGCAAGTGTGGCGCTTTACAGGGTTCAGTTCTAAACTAAGCTTTCGGTTCTTTTAGATACAGCTGTCTTAGTATTGTCTATGGATAGAAAGAGGTAGAAAGCTGTTGAGTTCCAGCAAAGTGGCCGTTTCTTGTCCTTTTCTCTTGTCTATGAATCTTCTGTGATAGAGGATGAAAAGGCAAGGCTGGGTAGAGTTTTGGCTTTTTTGAAGGCCCTGCACAGGTGCTTCTTGGGAAGCAGTGAAGGAACCCCTGAACGTTTGTTCATCTCCAGGGGATTCTTCTGGAAATACGACAGCCATGAAGTGTCTGAGAAGGGACAAGTCTGTGGCCAGAACCATTTTGATGTGGATGTCAGAGTAGAAACAAAAGGAGACAGAACCAAGGGTAGACTTCGATGATTCTTTTGAGTGCTGTAGCAAACCCAGATCTACTTTTCTCTGCTGCTTCTTCCTATTGGGTGATGAGAAAACCAGGAAAGCATAATACTGAAGCAAACATCATAGGTTCTTGAACTGTAGGTGTTGCTTACACCAAAGAATATGGTATTACTGTGTTCAGTTTAGAATACAAGCCTATGGCATCGTACACACGACAGCTTTGGAGTAAAAGATGAGGGTAGTTAATGTTTCTGGGTGGCAGCTTGACTTCTAGATTTTATGTTAAGTGGTGCAATAGTTGCTCCAGGTACAGTGCAAAAAATTAAGGATAGATGAGTAGGGAATACTCAGACTCATTGGAAATTAATAGGGAGATAGTTTGAAAAGTCCACAGGTGAAATAACAGAATTTCTTTTTTCTTTTTTTTTTTCTGTTTTTTGAGACAAGGTTTCTCTGTGTAGCTTTGGAGCTTGTCCTGGATCTCACTCTGTAGCCCAGGCTGGCCTCGAACTCACAGAGATCCGCCTGCCTCTGCCTCCCGAGTGCTGTGGTTAAAGGCATGCGCCACCACCGCCTGGCTGGAATAACAGAATTTCAAGAAGATAGGAAACAGGAAACAGGAAACAAAAACAGTAAGATGGTTTATCCAAACCTGTCCACTTCAGTAGCATCATGTTAATAGAAGAAACAATGGATTAAAAGCAGAAACCCAGCAGGTTTTACCCGCCTGTAATCCCATCACTGAAGAGGCAGAGGCAGGAAGATTCCTATAAAATAGAGCCTGCCCTGGTCTACACAGTGAGTTTTAGGTCAGGCAGCTGCAAAGCAAGTTCTTACCTCAAAACTAAAAGGAGAAAAGCAAGAAAGCATGGACTATCAGAATGAATTAAAAAGCAAAACATATTTGTACTGAAGGTCGGCTTCTTGAAGGGAGACGTAACTAGGATGGAGACTATTGGTCGGATGGATGGGTGGATAGATGGGTGGATGGACAGACAGATGGGAGGGGGTATACCACATAATAAAACTGAGTTAAGATGGAAATTGTAAAACTGTTATAAAGGAATTTCTGACCTTTTCAGTATTAGACATCCCCTTTCCACTGTGTGCTACAGACATCTCTCCTGGCCATAATTACTTTAAGTTTCATAAGGCGAATTTTGGACTTTATTAGTTACCCAAAACAAACTTAAAAGCTGCTATTCAAGCCAGGCATGATGGCACATACCTATGATCCTAGCACTTGGGAAGCAGAGGCAGGAGGCCCAGCTGGGATATACAGAGTTCCAGGCTGGCTAGGGTTACATAGTGAGATTCTGTCTCAAAATAAAACAAAACAAAATTGAAAAGTGCAATTCATAGAGAAGAACAGAAATTTGAAAGCAATGGAAAAATAAACAGACTTCCTCATGTTTGGGGCTTACATAGATGATATTTTTTTTTGGTATAAATGTGTTTGGTTTAAGACATATATCATCAAAGTCTACAACATTGCATGTGTTGCTTTGAAGGATTTCTGTGTGTGGAAAACTGAAACCATCTAAAATATATACTATTCTGTGTTTTTGCCATCCAGTGCAAACAAAGCATTTTATTCAACAGAATTCAGTGTTCCAAGGTTCTCTGGCTCATTTCTGCTTGCACAGCATGTTTGCATTGGGGGGGTAAATGTACAACGGTACAACTTTCCATAGGATTTAAAACGGTGATCCTTAGCCATTCACCTGGTTTATGGGTAGTTTTGACTTTGGCATAATTCTAGCTAGAAATTGTCTAATCTAAAAACTTTGTTTTTATAACAATACCAGGGAGGCAGAAATGAATAGCTTCTAGCTCCCAGCTGCTTATGTGGATGGTCTTTTAGAATAGTGGTGACATTATGTGACTAGGCTTTTCATAATTTAAACATTCTGGATTAAATTATCATCATCATCCTCGTCATGGTAATTGTTGCTGCTGTTGTTATTTAAGATAGGGTCTGTGTGTAGGGCTGGAGAGATGGCTCAGAGGTTAAGAGCACACTAACAAGATAGGGTCTGTGTGTAGCTCAGACTTCCTGCCTTGGCCTTTCAAATTCTGGAACTGTTGGTGTTTGACACTACTATGCTTGGTTTTAATGTCACCTTGCCACAAATCAGAATCACCTGAATAGGGAGCCGCACTTTAGTCAGGGTCCCGATTGCCTTGATTGATGTAAGAAGACCCACTCCAACTGTGGGCAGTGCCTTCTGGGATCATCCCAGATAACAGGGGCATGGTAGATCAGCTGACAAGTTAACTTATCCTGTCTTATCCTGTTGCTGCCGCTCATTCCTTTGATGATATCAGAAGCACTATCTCCAAGCTTTTGTCATGGACTAGGGGCAAGCAGCTCTCCCAAAACCTTCGGGGTGCCATATTGGGACTGAGCAGTGGACTGAGCAACTAGCTGGTTGTCACCCCCAGCTGCCTACTGAGAGACACTATTGTGGGACTGCTCCAACTGCTGAGGCAGCCGTTGGTTTTGTTCCTTAGAGAACCCCAACTAATATAGATACCGTGCACCATTAACTGGTAACCACTCAGGCTCACTCTTCCTCCCTCCC